TGAATTCACAGCTGTGGGGTATTTTGCAGATTGTAAGAAATCAAGTTAATATCTTGGACACTCTGTAAAGTACTACTATTGAATTGCTTATACATAATTATTTAACTTATAAATAGAACTCTTATTTCTTTTAGCCTAAGAATGTCTTGTAATCCTAAGAGTATCGTGAACAAAGGTGTAAAAATCTCTAGAATAATTAAAGCTATGCTTTGAGAAATAGTCGATAAATTTAGTGACAAAAACATTTTTGCAATTAGAAGGCAAAGTTAGGTGTATCCCAAGGGTTGGAATGGAAGTTCGAAGGTGGGGTTAAAGGAGGGGATGGTTAACTGCAACTTTGGAAGCAACAGTTACTTTCCCAATTTATGAACAGAAATGAAAGGAAGGCCAAAGCCAAACAGTTCAGCGATCTGCAACGGAAAGGGAAAATAGGGTTGTGTTTTTTATTTTATTTTATATCTACTTACATTATTGTTCATTTTAAAACAAATTTTACTTCCTCCCTCCCCAACTTTGCCCACCCGTCATAGCCCCCAACATTCCTCCTTCCAATCCCTCTCCTCTCTGTCCCCCTCCCCTGTAGGATTGCTCTGGTTTACAATTTTGTTTGTTTGTTTGTTTCGGTTTGTTTTGTTGTGTCTTGTATTGTAATAACAATACACTCCTCCCATGTCTTATTTTGTTCTCCTAAATTCCTCCTATAAGTGAAACCATTTGATACTTTAGTGTTCATTGAGCATTATCCCTTCCAGCTCCATTCATGTTACTACAGATGGCATGAGTTTATCTTTTTTGATTGCCGAGGGTTGATTGTACATTTATGCAAACGGAATGTCTCCAGTTTAGGCAAAAGTTTGAGAAGGGAAATTAAAATGGAGGATCAGGTCCTGCCATAAGCCAGCAAAGACAGGAAGGAAAGCAAAAGCAAGAAACTTTTTCTTGGAAGGAAGGGTAATGAATCAAGTAAAAAATCTGTGATTTGGCCTATCAGGGCTTGCATGTGTTTTCTCTTTCAGTTTTCACCACTGACTCAGAAGGGAAATGCCCCTATTTCAGACATGAGAAAGTGAAGTTTGGGATAATGAAGAGAAAGCAGATAAAGGTCTGAGCATCTTTTGAGACAGAAGAGGGAGTTTGAAAGGGTGTGTTAGTCAATTCAGGCCAGTATAACCAATCATGATAGGCAGAATATCTAAAACTACAAACTTCTATCATCACAGTTCTGAAAGCCTGAAAGTCAAGGTCAAGACACCTGTGGTTTGGATGCCTTAGTAGAACCCCTTCCTGGCTTACAGATGGCCATCTTCTACCTTGTCCTGACATGGTGGAGGGGACCACAGAGTGCTCTGCTTTCTAGGGTGTCTTTTATAAGGGCACCCTCATGCCTTCATGAGGATGAGGGCTGTACCTTCCTCACTTCTTCAGCAGGCCCCACCTGCTGACATTATCCATTAGGGGTTAGGATTTCAATAAATGAATTTAGAGAAAACACAAACAATCAGACCATAGCAAAGGCTACCTTCTACTTTCCTCTTTCCTAGTTCTCTAGACGGTACTTCTCAAACTTTGATTTGCATGAGAATTTCCTGGAATCTTGTTAAAATATATATTTTTACTTAGTTGATCATGAGACTTTGCAGTTCTGAGTTTTTGCGATGCCAGTGCTGCTGCTCCATGAACCACACTTTGAGGAGCAGAATCTAAATAAATCATCAACTCAGACTTTCTAAACTCTTGCCAGCTATTTGTAGATGCCTCATATATGTGGTTGGATTGTAGATAAAAGTGCATTACTGAGGTAAAGAGACCAAAGGAAATAGAAGTCAGATTTGAGGACAATAAAGAGCACATTCAAGTGACCTGGGGAAGAGCCAAGAGCAAAACCAAGGGGTGGATCCATCAGACTGAGAACTGCAATCCAACACACTAAACTGGCAAAGCTGCTGGCAGTTGAATATTGGCTGAACCAGGTAAAAATAAAAATCAGAATCACTGAGTACAAGGACTAAGATCTCATGTCTTTGTTGCAGAAGGAGGAAAGAAAACAATATGAGCAGGTAGTGACATAACCCTGAAGACAGGAAAATGTTCTGCAGTCAGATGAATGATAGAGATGAGAAAAGGATTGCAAATGCCACTGAATTAAAAAAAAAATGCTGAGAGATTTAACAGTGGGTAGAAAGAGGGGAGGCCCCCAATCTCTCAACGTTGAAATCTCCTGGGAAGAATCTAAAAATACCAATTCCTGGCCCTGTCCCCAGAGCTCGGAGGCCATAGTTCTACCCAGGCCTTAGAATCTGTGTTTTGAAGTTTCTCACACATGATCTGATGTTGCATCCAAGGTTGGGGATCCCTGATTATCCTTCTGTGGCTCCTTGGGGTGAATGGGAGAGGAGAAATGACCTCTCAGCTATGATAGAGGCACTGTAGGAATCCTCAAGGAAATCATCAGTCTCTGCCCATCAAATCTTACATCCAGACATTGCTAAGTGGCTCTACAAAGCTGTAGTCATTTATGATTTCTCTCATTGTGACAGTCGTGATCAATCCCTTCTGGACGATTAAACAGATTGTCTGCTGGTCCAAGCCCCAGTTAATATTTGTTCATATTCAATCTACTTCACATATGAAAACAAATTTCATGCCAATTTCAAGTAACTGCTCATTTATTTTAACTCTATAAGGCAATTTTTTTTCTACTTCTTTTATTCTCTTCGATAAACAGGAGTGTTTCAAAATGACACTCAGCATCCTAAAGAGAAGCAGCCTGGGAGCAGTGGGGGCCACAGCCAGAGCCTGATGTACATTTATATTCTGCTCCACCTCTCACCACTGCTGTGAGCCTTGACCTTGAGCCTCATAGCACCGACCTCCCGGGGCAACTCTTAGAATCAAATAAGCTAAAGGATATGAAACTCTTTAGACTGTGCCTGACATGGGCACATGACCCGTGCAAGTTTGCCTGTGCTATGATTAGGTTACCTTAGTCACTGTCATAGCTGTTACTTATAAAAAACCAGTTAGTCCTGCTGTATCTAAGAACCTCCTTTGGGGAATCAGGCTGGGGACCTTTCACAGGAAGCTGGATCATCAGCTTGGTGGCAGAAATCCAGTTGCTTCTGCTACTGGAGCAGTGACAACATTCCCTAGTTTCTTCATGTGGAATAATGACAGAGACCGGATTGGAAGATAACATAACGTTCATGTAACTGACAAACATTTACTGAGCACCTGCTGACTGCTAGGAATTGTGCAGAGAGCTGAGGATATAAAAACACAGGTGCAGGCTCTCCCTGGTGGTGCAGTGGGTTAAAGCACTGCACTGTGAAGCTTCCGAAGCCACTACAGCACGAGTTTGATCCCCAGCCAGGGAGCTGACCCACATGGTGTGGCAGACCTCTCCTGACCTGCCCACTGCTCCCCTCAGCAGTGCATTTCAGTAGATCTGCCTGTTCTGCTCCCCACTCTGTCTCTGGTGAATCCTCTCACCCCAAATACCTCTGGCCTGTAAGTATAAGGAAATCTTAAACACACACACACACACAAACACACACACACACAGGTGGTGCAGCAGGTTAAAGCACAGCACTGAGAAGCTAAAGCCACTTCCACATGAGTTTGATTCCTGCCTGCCCTGGAGGTGACCACATGGCTTGGGAGACCTCTCCTGACCCACCCGCTGCTCCCCTCAGCAGTGTACTTCGTCGATCTGCCTGTTCTGCTCCCTACTCTGTCTCTGGTGAAGCCTCTCGCCGTCCCTGAGCCTCTGGCCTGTAACCCAGTTCTGTAAGCACAAATAAATAAATCTTTAAAACACACACACACAGGTGTTTCACTCTTAAAGCTTGGTCTGATAAAAAAATAGATATGAAGCATTAAATGAATTCTCAGTTCAGTGGTTGCACAGAAGAGAATCTCTGATGTTCTCTGAAATTTATACAGATGACACACATCTGTTTCTAAATTGGGTAATTTATGTCATCCTGATAGCAATTAGATGTGAACGATAGCTGTCAACAAGAGTTCAAAGTTGACTATGAGGTACATTTATATCATACTCATTTTTATTTTGGTTCTTCTAAAAGAAAAAAATCATTGATAACCTCATTTACAACCAAGAAAATGTAGGTTCAGAGAAACTACGCTCCTTGACCAAAATCACACTTTTTTGAAGTCTTCCTTTTTAATTAATTAATTTTACATCACTGTTCATTTTTTCAGTATTTGTGTAATCCCCATAAAACTCCCACCATCACATCACCTGTGCACTGTCGCCACAGTCCCTTATTTTCCTCCCACACCTGCTTGGGCCTATTCCTCTCTCCCTCCCCTGCTGTATGTCTTAGATTTATAATTTGCCTGTTCGTTTTGTCTTTTTTTTTTCTGACCCCTTGTTCATTTACCCTATATTCCTCCTTTAATTAGTCTTAAGAAGAAGGGCTGAAAAATGTGGTCCCCACTGTTATCTTTCTTGGTGCTAAGTCAAAGTGTGGTAATTGGCACACTATTATAAAGACAGAAGACTCCATAGTAAAACTGAGCTAAGGTGTTAGGTTTAAACTATATCCTTATTGCCTAAAAGTCCTAGCAGTTTTTTTTTTTTAAAGATTTATGTATTTATACACACAGAACTGGGGTACAGGCCAGAGGTGCAAGGGGTGAGAGGGCTCACCAGAGACAGTGGGGAGCAGAACAGGCAGATTGACTGAAATACACTGCTGAGGGGAGCAGCAGAGGGGTCAGGAGAGGTCTGCCACATGTTGTGGGCCACCCCCCTGACCAGGGATAGAACTTGTGTTGCAGTGGCTTCAGTAGCTTCATAGTACTGTGCTTTAACCTGTTGTACCACCAGGGAGGCCCCAGTCTTAGCAGTTTTAACCATTGTTCGCTGTCAGTCACAGACTTGTCCAACTACAGACACCATTGTGGACCGCGGCAGGGGGAGCGGGTACTTTGTTTATGATAATGTAAAACAGCATACTGGTACTTTCTTTTCCCAGCTGATTCAAAAATTGACAGATGTTGCTGAAGAATGTCAGAACAACCAGTTAAAGAAGCTCAAAGAAATCTGCGAAAAGTAAGCCTCTACTTTTACTACAGTGGACTTGCGTTTATAAACATATTCAACACAAATTGCCATTTGCTTCAATATTTTTTCACTTTTCCTTGCATTTTGATTTCAGAGAGAAGAAGGAATTGAAGAAGAAAATGGATAAAAAGAGGCAGGAGAAGATAACAGAAGCTAAATCCAAAGACAAAACTCAGATGGAAGAGTAAGGAGAAGGAACACTACTCACCTCGTCTCTCCCCCTCACCCTCCTCACCCCTTCTCAGCCCTCTTACCCCTCTCACCTGGTGATGGCTTTATTCTGAATTGGAATAACAGGTTCTCATCCACACAGAGACCCATCTGTGAAATTTCTCTTCTAATTAACCTTCCAAAATATCTGTGTTGTAAAAATTTTAACACTGAACTCAGAGCAATTCATTCGAGTACTGAGATGCACCCAGGGCAGTGTCTTTTCGATAAAGACTGAGTAAGAGCTTCCCTTAGGGAGAAGCTAAATACTCATTTCTCATAGCATCAGGAAATTTCCAAGCACTTAGTGAAAGTTTGCCCTTGGGTGAAAACTGACCTTTGTCCAGAGCTGATCGGTTTGGACTTTCCCTGCAGCATAATAAGAATGTGAAGATTTCTGTACCTTTTCATCTGGAAGGCTGGAAGTTTTCCATCTTCATCGAAACAGCTGCATTCTATAATGATCTGTGTGTCATTTGCTTTTAGGGAAAAGACAGAGATGATCCGGTCATATATCCAGGAGGTTGTGCAGTACATCAAGAGGGTATGTCCCCTAATCCCTCATTCCTTTACAAACCATGTGACCCTTTGATAAGCACAGTGTGCGTCTCCGGACTGAAGTGCCAGGCTTGGTTGTATCTTTTTACCATCAGTACTTCATATTGAAAGCACTTCAGAGGGAAAGTACTTCATAATTCCTGTCTCTGCAAGTTTAATTGTAATCCTCTACATGAAAGGATCTAAAGAGAAACAAAAAATCATTCCCCACCTCCCAAAAAACATTTCCCTAGTCAGGAGCCCAGAAACATGATGTAAATGAGTGCCTCCTCCAAAGAAACTTCAGATGGCAAACTTCAGAGACACTTCTTATTGCAAAAAAAATAACATTTAAAAATAATATGTAGTAGTTTATTTTTACATCATTTTGTGCCTTCTTCCATCTCAGTTGTAATCCCCATGGGCTTCCCACCACCATATCACCTGTGTGCCATCTCCATAGTCCAGTGCACTTTCCTCCCCACCATTTTTGATCCCATTCCCCACTCCACCCCCTGTAAAATGTCTCTGGTATATAGTTGTTCATTATTATTATTGTTTTCTCCCCTAGTCTTTATACTTCTGCTGAGTGAACCCATCCTGTATTTTTCCTTTTCTTTCTGGCTTATTTCAGTCAGCATGATCCCTTCCAGCTCCATTCACATTGCTGTTAAAGGCATGAGTTTATCCTTTTTGATTTCTGAGTAATATTCCATTGTGTATATGTACCACATCCAAAAAATATTATTTTTATGAAACTTTTAAAATACTAATTAGTTACCTTACTCCCCTCCCCCAACCTTTGCACTCATCACCAAACTTGAATATTTATTTATCAACAGTTTCCTACACTTGTGAGAGCATCCCTTGATCAGGAAATGAAATACTTAAATAACTAATAATACCTAATTATCACATAATTGTTGTAATAATAGATCTTACTAGCTATCCATTTTCAGCATTCACTTGATCATTTAGATGAAATAACTTTACTTTTAATTTTCTTGTAGTTAGAAGAGGCACAAAGTAAACGGCAAGAAAAACTCATAGAGAAGCACAAGGAGATTCGTCAGCAGATCCTTGATGAAAAGCCCAAGGTAAACGTAACCAAATCATAACACACAATGCCTTTGTTTCCTTTCCACTCAACTAGAGTAAGACCTCCGCAATCCATGTAACTTCCACTTAGTCTCAGGTCTGTTTCCGCATGTGAAATTACACCTCCTTCTCAGTGACAGTAAAAGTACAGTATTCTATAAGCTTTTGGCATCAACTGGTGAATTTAAACTGCCATACACAGGACCTACTTCTGGAGATTGGTTTCAGTTGGCCTGGGGTTTGCCTCAGGTATAGGTATCTTTAAAGTTCCCCCCCTACGGTTCTGGGAGGTAGCAGTCCTCACTGGGTGAAGAGAATCAAAGACAAGTCTCTTCGGCTCTAAAGAACTAATGTAATTTTGCTGTGTCTTTCCAGCAGAGGGGGCACTGCACCAAAATCACTGGTTATTAACCAACAACGTTTTCTTATAAATTAGAAAAAAACAATTTTTAAAAAGATTTATGTATTTATGCATACAGAACTCAGGTACAAGCCACAGGTGCAGGGGTGGTGAGAAGACTCACCAGAGACAGAGTGGGGAGCAGGACAGACAGATGATGAAATACACTGCTGAGGGGAGCAGCAGCTGAGACAGGGGAGGTGGGCCATGTGGATCACCTCCTCCAGGCTGGGATCGAACTCGCACCAAACCCAGTGGGGCAGCCAGCCAGCTTGCAGTGTTGGCCTTTAACCTGTTGCGCCACCAGGGAAGGCCCCAGAAAAAGACAATATTTTTACTATAGTTATACTTTATTGGGACTCCATTCTAAAACTACATTATTTTTAGAGTGTGATCAAAATCGTTTCATTAGTGTTAGCATTAATGAACTGAATACCTATAAATCAAATATTTTCTAGCTAGCAAACAGTAGCTCAGTTTTTGATTATTCCATCCATTTTGATTAATCACCAGATACTTTTGTGTTTGTGGGAAAAAAAAAATGTGCTTTTGAGCTTTCCTGTCTTGCTAACGTCAGTATAAAATTTCTACTTAAGAGGTACTGCCATTCCATACAGGTACTTTTTTTTTTTTGAACCTGTAAAGCTCAGAAGTATTAGTTTTATTTCATTGTGTGTTCCATCCATCATTTCACTGCTGTAGGTTCCTTGGGGCTAATTCTAAATATATTTTTGTAGTTGCTTCTGCTGTCCTGCTTTTGTATTTTTTATGTAGGATACATTTAATGTTTTTGACTCCTAAGTGTTTAGACTCAGCAATGTAGATTCTTAAGCAGTGATGAAAAGCCAACAATTAATAATTATTTAGATAGGCTGCTTTAGTTTTTTTTTTATATAAATGTACAATTTAAATTTTCTTACCAACTTTTCAAGTTGATTATGCATTAGAAAATAGAATACATTTTAACATACTTTCAGAAATTGCTCTACTTCCCAGTTAGGATTGATCTTTATTTTTTTTTAAAGAACTATTTATTTATGCATACAGAACTGGGGTACAGGCCAGAGGCTCAGGGTCGACCAGAGACAGAGTGGGGAGAAGAACAGGCAGATCAGTGAAGTACACTGCTCAGGAGAGGTCTGCCACGCCATGTGGTCACCTCCGGGGCAGGCGGGGATCAAACTCATGCTGAAGCGGCTTTAGCTTCTCAGTGCTGTGCTTTAACCCGCTGCGCCACCAGGGAGGGCCCAGATTGATCTTTTTATAACATTCAAGTGTTTGAGACAAAAGATAGAATTTCAACTGAAATTTTGTACACATCATAATAATTGGTCCCAAGTGATATATTCAGATATATGTATTTTCAATCCATATTGCCTGAGTTCAAATTTGTCATTACTTTGAACACTGACATAACGATTTGATTATAGTTAACATCATTAGCCAGTTTTTGTACTTCTAAAAAAGCTATTGGGAAGTACTATTTTCAGAATTTTATTCTGCTTTGTTGTTGTGTTTGATCCAACAATATCGGCACCTTTATTCATAGATACAATGCAGTCACAAAATGTGTTTAAATTACTTCTCAATATAAGTAACCCTATGGTTTATTTACTGCTCTAAGTCACCATAATTAAAATTAACTTTAATAGATGTTTTAAAACCTTTAATCTTCTTTATGGGATAAAATCAAACAGAAGAACTAGCAATTGTTGGGATCTTATCAGCAAGGGTGTGTTCAGCAGCAATTTTACAGAAACCCAGTTAAAACCGGTTTGAACAATACTAGCATTTATTAAGTCCTACATGCAACTATAAGTTCTGAGGTGCTGCAGTTTTACTATGGTAAATTTTGTGGCACAACAACCTTGTTGTCGAGGGTCCAGGCATTTTTCAAATGTCTACCCTGTCATCTCATTTGGTGGTTTCAAAATTACAAGAAGGCTGCCGGCATCCGGACCCTACATAATTCCATCCAAAAGCCAGGTGGGGATGTCCTCATCTTATAACTCTTTAGAGAATTATGGAAAACCTTCCTAAGTCTCCCTCAATAGAGGGAGACTTGTCATTTGCTTTATGTCGTATGCACTTTCATAAACCAGTCCCAGTCACAGATGTATACTTTTCAGTACTGGCGTAGAATGATTAAGATTCACCCATGAGGGTGAAGATAGTGCAACTTCTCTTCAATCCCATGCTCACCAAGCACTTGAAAACAGCTGATAGTCTTTACCAGAGAAGCTGCAGTTGGTAATTAACAGTATATGGCACAACCCTATTTATAACAACTTTCCATGCCTTTTTTTTTTTTTGGTTCCTTTAAAAAAAGATCAAATAGTGTTCATGAATTTTCAGTGCCATTGCCTGCATTTTTTTTATTGTAAATAGGTAGCACAATAACTACACTTTGCCATTCACCCATGGGTTGTTCTTACAACTATAATTGTAACTTGAATATGGTTTTATTGTACATGGATTCAAAGTCTGCCCTTGAAGATCGTTGGTTTCATGTCCACCTAAAGTATTTATCAGGAGGTGCTCTTCAGGGCTTGAAAATCGTTGTGCTTCAGAACCATGACTTTAATGGTAAAATAAGAAATCACAACTGTTCATGTTATAGGACCTTGTGGCTAGTAAAGCAAAAGAACCATGACCAGAAGGAACAATAATAAACAGTGAAGTACAGAAAACAACAAAGCACAGGATGGTAGCGCAGGCAAGTGAAAGGCCAGGCAAGTAGAGCCGAGCTCTGTGGCCCTGCAATTGTGAAGCACTGACCAGAAATAGGAGCGCTTTGGCTACCAGATAATCTTTGTACACATCCTACATTGGGATGGTCTTTAAAGCTTGACAGAGACATGAAGGAAATTAAGAAAAGCAAATAGAAAGGAGCAACTCGAGGAAAAGAAACTGAACAGCAGCATCTACAGAAGAGCTTACCTAAGTCAGTTCCATTTGATCAGAAAGATGAGAAGGCAGAGTGCCTTTCTGATATCTGGATGCTTATAAACTGTTCCAGTACTGAGTGTTCGGCCAGAAAACTGAGTTGACGCTACACTAGGTCACATTAATTTCGACCTTCTTATAAAGAAGAAAGCTCTGCCACACTTTGCCAGGAGTTGCTGAGGGGAATAAAGTTCCTCCTTCTTCTGTTTTGTAAATGGGATAAATAGTGTTCTATCCAAAAAGGGCCACTTTTCTCTGACAGCAAAAACTATGTATTTATTACCCCACATTGGATTTCTTCCCATTTTTCAGTTTCTCTCACCATAATGTGGAATATAATAATTTACTTTCTCTTCTTCACTATTCTCACTCTACAATAATGTATAAATAGATGTTTCTAAACTCCTCCAAAACAGGGATGAAACTCATTTTACATGTCTGTTTTCTCCTGGTGTTACTTTTCAAAATTTTCGTAACCAAACAATACTTTTTTTTAACAGAGGACAAATAAGTCTAACATTATTTTTAACAAAAATAATTTGAAAAGATAGTTCTTTAGCCAGGCAGGGTTCTGACTAGATTAACTCAAAATATAATTTTGCTAACCCTTTTACTCAACCATATGTTTATGATATAGAAAGATCAACTCAAGTTCCTTACATTTTTACCATTCTACAACAGCAGTAGACTATGCCTCAACTGAAACAACTGGAAAGTTCATTTGAGTCCTCTCTGGTAGTTATATGGGTTAAAGTCTGAGCACTGTCAAGCTATCGCCAGCCACTGCAGCATGGTTTTGATTCCCAGCCAGGGAACTGACACACATGGCACAGCAGACCTCTATTGTCTCATCTGCTGCTCCCTTCAGCAGTGTATTTCAGTAGATCTGCCTGTTCTGCTCCCTACTCTGTCTCTGGTGAATTCTATAACTCCCTGGCCTTTGGCCTATACTCCAGTTCCTGTGTGCATAAGTAAATAAAGATAAATTTTTAAAAATCCATTTATATACAAGGATCAAGAATTTCAGTCCTCCTGGCACATATTTGATAGGAGATTAAATTTGGCCAGCCACAATGTGCAAATTTACTTTAGAAATTCCCTGTTTGTGCACCATGCCTATTTCATATGTAAACACCATTTGTCCCATTAAAAAAGACATGTAGAGGGTCTATTCCTTCATGTGCAATTTTTGAGGACAGTTGGGACAAATGAAAGCGGGTGATTCCCAAAGGCAACTTATAAAATGTATAAACATATGAGCCCTCAACTTGACATAAAATTATGTTGTATATTACTGTGTCTAAGTCCCACTGAAGCTTGTTAAGGTACAAACAGCAGTAGTTATCCTTAAAAGATAACATCAACTCCTTCTCAGTAGAGCTGCAAATTCTGGAGAAATATTTAGCTGCATGTTTCTTGGCAATGAGATGTTGACTCAGTCCCTGAATGTTTGCTGTTTTCAGCTCTGTTCAAGGTGTGTCTCTTTATAAACTTGATAGTAGCAGAGTGCAATAAACCCTCTTTCAACTCAGTGACATAATTGGTTTCCTTGGGATTTTCATACCTGTGTTTGCCAAAACCAATAGGAAAGAGCTTAATATGTACCAAAAGTACAGAAAAAACTCAAGAACCCAACTGCCAGTGCAGAAAGCC